GAACGAACGAACGAACCTTCTCCACTCAACGACCACATTTTCAATTGCACTCAACAAATCGTTCAGCAATCTCAAATGAATATTTGACCATCGAAATTCTGGTGTTCGATAGATTGCTGTTGGTTGCTCTTCAGGTGTCGACAACGCACCACTGCCCTCATGACGTTCATTACCATCCGATTTGCCATCCTTCAATGAATAACTACTATTGGATACTTTCTCAAAGATTCTCTCTAAACCTCGAATCAAACTCCACTTCCCTAAATCACTCCAAACCAAATAATGATGATAAAAAGCTGACGCAAAATTATCAAAACCTTTTTCATTCCATGAATATTACACATGCAGTTTAAATCATTCAAATAATTACTTCAAGTTTGATGGTTCAGCAACAAAACTGTGCCGGAAAGAGCGATCTCGACGAATAATTCGATTTCGAATTCTCAAAATTTTCTCCAACTTTTTAAATTATCCCTTCCTCCTCCACATAACGAGCTAATGCACTAACCACATTTTGCACCACACTCGAGACGATATCGCTGACAGTCTCTGCGATTACATCACCGTTTGCGTTTCGATTCGTTGGCGATGAATAGACGCGTGACGACGCACGATAACGTTCCCACGAGACCTGCAACGAAAAACGTTCGTTCATCGACGGAATCATCCGTAGATTCTTTCAAACTCTCCAGTATCTATTCCATCAGAAACCAACGATTCCATATAAAATCATTCCATATCAACAAGAAGCATTCGATATCACATTCACTGCTATATAACCAAAAGTGCTACAAATCATCAATACACAAACCTTGGAGTGTGCAATTGCTAATGTATCAACCCAAACACGCCATCCACCGTATTCGAGTCTAATCGCATGGAATAAGAGCTGCTCAAAGACACGATACACCAGCTCAGTGATCGTCGCCTCATCGTCATTCGTCGGAAACACGTACGCCAGCGATATCAACCATTCTTGCCAAACGCTCATTTGCAGAATTGTACGTCGATTATCACGAGAATTTTCACACATTTTTATCAGATCCTCCAAAAACACGCGTTTCACCTGAAATTCCCAAAGACTAATCAAAAAGAATGTAAAATGATTTCATCCAAACTCGCACCTTCTTCATCAANCAACGTACTAACCTTAATCAATTCGGGTCGTTCTTCACTTTGCGTTATCAGATTCGCGATAACCTTCAACAGTGTCGGATTCTCGAACGACAACGCGTCCGTTATGGGCACATGCGATGTGTAACTGATCAGCGGTGTCATCTGCTCGACCAAAATTTCGAAGAGTGCATTGTACGTGGCCAAACTCAGATAGCTTGCATTCAACAACAAACGATCCGTTAACAACGTAAACAAATTCAAATTGCCCACTGAATCGTTCTTTCGTCTGCAAATGTAAATGGCATCACTCCCTTTCGCAAAACTAATTAATTCAATCAAACAAACCAAAATTTGCTTATGTTGCCGAAAAGAAATTCAACTCCACTAATTATAAATGAATCACAACTTCTCACAAAACAAAACAAAACAAAACTAAAAAATGCTTCGGTGTCAAACAGAAAGTCACTAATCGCTTACTTAAGAGTGGATCGACACAGGAAAAAGCCAAATATTTTCAGAGCTGGCACTCGAATCAGCTCATTGGTTGAATTGAGCAATTTGAAAACGACCGCCAGTCCCTTGTTACGATCGAATGCCGGCACCATCACTGCTGGTCTTTCGGCTAATAAACGAGTGGTCAGCGCCAAAACATCGTAAAGATTATCATCCTTAAACAAACAATTCATTATTCCAATTTGCAATCCATTGTTCAACACAAATTATTTCCTCTGCTGAATATATTCCCCACAAAATGTCACCAATCAAACACAAACCAAACAAATTATATTCA